TTATTCCGAGTGCAGTCGAAAAGTTCCGGAAAAAAGTAGCTAGTTGAAAAGTCCCGGAACAAGGTAGCTAGTTGAATAGTTCTGGCGGAACAGAACAACTAGTTACATCGTTCCGAATATACCATACTAAGTATTTCGTCCTTTTTGTAGAAATAGGGGGAAGAATGAGTATCAGTATATATATAAGAGCAAATCATTAATTTACAAGAATACCCAACGCACTGAAAGGGGTTTCTTTGGGGACAAATATGCAAAATTTAAGTTGTATTTCATAGCTCACATAAAACGGAATAAGTTGCATTATCATGCAAATTTAGTATTCATAGTACCCTCGAGAGAGGGAAGAATACCCCCTCCTCATGTGGTTCTTTGCATCAATTCTCCAAATGGAACTTTGTGACTGGTTGACAAGTTCTGTTGGAATTTTTGGGCTAGTTTGTTAGTTCCGGTTTTGACTTATTTGCCAAAGAGGAACTTTGTGGCTAGTTGGTAAGTTCCTTTTGACTTTTGTAATCAGTAACTTGGTTTCCCTTTGAAAGGTTCAAATATAATATGTTGCGCTTTTACTTTGCATCAATTCTCCAAATGGAACTTTCTGCCTGGTTGATAAGTTCCGTTGGAACTTTTGGGCTAGTTTGTTAGTTCCGGTTTTGACTAATTTGGCAAAAAGGAACTTTCTAACTAGTTGATATGTTCCGTTCATTTTCATTTCCTATCACGCGCTTGTTAGAGATCAAGGACCAGATCAAACAGAGAATAATGACCACTTACCCATGTATTGGTAACTGGTCATATATGAGTAAGTGTAAAAGAAGTGTTCTCAGTCCATTTTCTTGGGTTAGTCGCCTCGATTCCACCTTTTATTCCTAACTCCGATCTCTGTCAAATTGATTGATCATAAAAAAAATGTATTTGCGCCCAACTTCCGACTGCCAACTGCATGATGCTAATATTGACCAAAATCTTAGCTTTTAATACAGCATGTTGCTTCTTATGCATTCAGTGTCTATCTTTCCGTTTCAGAAAGGGTCTGTAAATTTAGCAAATGGGAGCCAATTATGCCATGTAAACCACTGATGTAAACTGTAAATTAAGTCCGCTCATGACGCTGAGAATAATCATGGTTATTTTGCTTTCATATTTTTGTCATTGTCAATTTTTTTGGAAGGGTATTTGTGGGGAGATTTTCGAATATTGTAAATTTTGATTGGTGTTGGAATATTTTTTGGGGGTTATTTGTGTTTTTGTAACTTCTTAAAATATCCCGATGGGAACAATGATTCTAGTCATGATTGCTGCCATCAGGGACTTTCTAGTATAGAAAGTCCCTGCTGCCATCTAAAATCGACCCAAACTCTTCCCTATGTTTATTGGTATGCCATTCTGTTTTGTTGAACATGTTCTCGTCCTGATAATGATTATGCATGACACGTTTGTAACTAGATGTCAATCAATCATTCAATTGACCAATCAATCAATCATGCAAATACATGTATATGTATAGTTACAAGGGGGAATTCAAAGCCTATTGTTCTGTTTGGGGTATGACCTGGCTGCTTACCCTTCTGGAGCACCTGAAGTCGCCTAAGTTTTTTCGGGTCCGTGTTTCTCATTTGTTTTTAGTTTTCGATGTTATATGTTGTCAACACTTCTTTTTATGAATGTTTTGATTTGGTAAATCTCTAATAGTCAATGATATTAAGAGGATATAACGTATTTAATGATAGTACTCCAATCCAACATGTTATTGACTGCGAGTCCGCACCCCCCCTTTTTTTCGTTTGGATTTGTTCATATCAATGTACCTAAAAATCCTCTGGAAAACCTTTTAAATAACCTTTTTGTTAGTTTTTCATAAATTTTGATGCACAATACAAAACAATAGAAAAGCAAAGACACATACCAAGTATATGTTTATTTTTTAACAATACGAGTTGTCCACTTTCCCCATCGTAATGGGGTAAGTGGACACCTCGGTTGTTATCGTCTTTTTCAAGAAACGAAAACAAATTTATTCCTTGTAGACCATATAATGATGCATTTGTTGTGGCTATTGAATTATAACTAAGCTTAAATGGGGTTTGTGTGCACTGTTCTGCTTTAGAATATGTTTTATGCAAATTTATGTTTTTTTAATGAATGCTATGACGTCATATTGCAAGCTACTTGCAACGCGGCACCGCTTCTTCTATTTCACAAAGCAGCAATTTTCCGCACAGATAAATAAGTTTTTGGGTTTAATCGTAATCCTTGATATCCAAGTTAGATCAAGTCAAGTTATTTTCAACGGAAGCCCACAAACATTTATTGTAAAAGACAATTTTGAGAAAAGTACATATTTGGTGGGTCTCATTGGGGTCTAAGCGTGACATATCCAGAAATCAACGCCACTTTGCTTATTTGAATATTATACTAAAGAAATCGGATACGGGTCACGGAAATTATATTGAAATGATAGGGAATGTAGAAAAAATGTCTGTTTTAACTTTGATTTAAGTGATAGACAGGTTGCCGGGGCAGAAAATAAATATACACAACAATATACACCATTTAAACGAAATATAATGACTGGCGTTGCAAAAATCAAGGTTCCTGAGCTATTTTAAAAATCGAAGCGAGAGGCTTTTTACATTGCAGTATAAAATACAGGCTAAAATGGCTGAAACGTCAAATTTGCAAACTTCTAGTTGAAAATTGGCTAACAAGGTCATTAGAAATACAATGAGAGAATCCATTCCGTTCGCGCCCAATCACGTTCGCCCCCATACACGTTCGCCCCCTTTTCAATTTCGCACCCTACACGTTCGCACCCAAAGTCCGTTCGCACCCTACACGTTCGCGCCCTATTTTTATTAGTGAGATTCTGACGACCAGTATTTTATTTTTGTGTTGAATAATTTTTAATCATGTTTTGGTTAGTGTATTGTTATAAATATTTTTTTTCATTGTTTCTAGTAAATAAAGTGCGAATCTGACAACGTTATTTTGGTGTTGAATAAATGGTAAGTGTATCGCTATAAATATATTTTTTTTCATTGTTTCTAAATATAGTGAGATTCTGACAACGTTTTTTTATGTGTTGATAAAATTTTAATCATGTTTTGGTCAGTGAATTGCTATAAATATATCTTTTTTATTGTTTCAAAAGGAATTGGGATTCTGACAACGTTTTTTTTTTATGTGTTGAATAATTCGTAATCATGTTTTGGATAGTGTATTGCTATAAATATTTTTTTTCATTGTTTATGAATAAAGTGAGATTCTGACACACATGAGATCAAAGGAGCCAAGCTGTTAAAAGAATTATTTTTCATGTTTTTTTATTTAAAATCTTCAAAGTTTCAAAGTTTTACTCATACCAAGCTAAATACATGCAGTATTTACATCAAAACAAGTTAAAACAACCATGACAACAATCATGATTTTTAAACACTCAACAATAACACCGAATTAGGCTGTGTATAAATACCAATTAGCAGTAATCATACATAATTAACATTTAATAATTAATGATCAAATCAATTTAAAACAATATTTCATTTAAAAATTCCCGAATTTTTATTTATGAAAATAAAAATATTTTGATATAAACATCTACAAACCATCTAAAAATTTATCAGGTTTTTTTAATAAGAAAAGGGTGCGAACGTGTAGGATGCGAAAGGACCTAGGGGGCGAACGTGTGGGGTGCGAACGTGTAGGGTGCGAACGTGTATTGGGCGCGAACGGACCCGATACCCCGGGGTGAAACTTGAAACTTGAATGTCCAAAGAATAAGCAAGTCCAAACCTTTTATGTGTAGTCGTTGAACTCTAGGTTCCCACGTAAAGTTAAAATGCCTCTATTTCAAGAAGAATAAACTCACGAAAACACGAAAAATTCACAAAATTCGCGTTCATTGTTTTGATTTTGACCGCCTGACAACTTTACGGAAATATCAGAGTGATTATAAACTTAATAAACAAGGACTCTGTGACGGGCAACTTATTATATCCGTGTTTTAAAGATTTTAATGATATCAAGCCAGTCCAGTTCAAACTATTATCACGTGGTACAATTCTCATTTACATATTATGAATATTAATTAGCAAAAGTACTACTAATTTCTGGCTATGACACGGGATTGCCGATTTTTTGTAAGCGTGACACGTGAAAGTCAAATTATTGTGCCGTGAAAACGGGAAATGATGTCTAGCGGGATACGGGAAATTACAAAAAAAATGAGAAATGCTTATACGTACATAGTGTAAGCGGGATACGGGAATCTGACAAAACAGTAAGCGGGATGCGGGATTAGAACCCCCCAATGAGACCCCCTATTTGGCGGGTATACGACATGTACGCCGCCATATTCTAGAAGCAGGATGTTTTCATTCAGCTAGTTGTGTATTTTTTATGCAATTGTACTATAAAAAGCATCATTGAAAGTCTCATTTTAAGGCATATATATTTGACGTTTTGAGAATCTCAAGTATGCATTCACGAACGTTTGTCGCCAAACGGGACACCTTTCTGTGTGTTATGTCATTAAAACAAACGTATGATTCATTAGAAATACTGATTATCTCTCACTTCCATTATCGCAACCAGCAAAAAAATAATATGCATGAATATCAACTGCTACGGTGCACTGACCTTCAATTTACCTGTCAACTTTTCTTTGTCTTTGTCCGTTGTTTTGATCATCTACGTGTCCGACGGGAGACAACTCGCATTAAGACAGCCACCGGATATAAATAACGCGGTGACCACTTACCCCACATGTCCACTTACCCCATTTCCCCCTACTCATTTTGTACTTACTTTATGGGGGCCTCACTGAAGGAAGAAGTTAGTGAAAACTTTAAATGAAGAATATTATTATTATTATTATTATTATTATTGTTATTATTATTATTATTATTATTATTATTATTATTATAAAGAAGGAGGTGCCTGATTACCAATTCGGATTCTAATATCCATTCCCGTATCGGTGCTCAATGTTACAATTTTAAATATGTCTGCGCCCATGGATTTGATCTCTTATCAGCTGTCGAATGATCTTCGCATTTAAAACTGAATGTGGTATCATTTAAAGACAGATAACAAAAATGAAAGCTTCTTACGCTTTGAGAAGACTGTTACCAAACAATTTTAGTATACGATGTCACACTAAAAGAACATTTTATCGCTCATTTCTACGTCAAACAGTTCCACTTACAAGTGTACGTTATCCAAATTTAAAGCGCAGTGGTTATTCAGCACTAACTGACAAAGACCTATCAGTATTTGAGAAATTGATACCTGGGAGGGTTCTGACTGGATCATCAGAACTAGATGGATACAACACTGATTGGTTAAAAACATGCAGAGGTACAGTGTATGTTCAGCACTTGCACGAATAGTCGGAATACCATGTTTTTGTAAAGTTAAACAGATGGAACAGAATAGAATGTAGTACATATATGATTCAGTTCTAGGAATTCACTATCAGAAATTCATGACGACTACTATGATTTTTTTTGTAATCCCTATTGAGATTATGTCATTTATGAGGTCTGAGCTTTTTTTGATATGGCTGCACAAATATACAATGTATACATATACAATAATAAAGAGAGGTCATAGAAGAAAATAATAGTTACTGTACTGCCTTCAACAATGAGCTAGTTTGAATTTGGAGGTCAGAGCTGTTAATTAGAAAAATCAAACTTCCAAATCCAATAACATGCAAATAGGGATTTCATTTTCACAGTCACAAAAACTTATGTATACTTCAATAGCAAAATACTAAAATCCTATACAAATTGTTTTAAAAGTATGTCTGGTGGTAAAAATTACATACTTTCTCAAAGAATACAATTTTAAATTATGTTATCAGTCAGGGGAATTACTGAAATAAGCGATTTTAAAACACTCATTTAAGTAGCAAATTAGAAATTCTGTAATTTTGTAGTTATACAAAAAATAATCATACAGGTTTACATGTAGACTTTATCTTATCATTAGTAAAATTGAAAAAAAATGGACCATTTGCTTCTTTCAAGTAGCAAGGTTTATGTCTTTGATGCAATCATTCATCTTTAAATTCTAAGTTTGTTGAAAAACTTGCTATATTACATGTATGAAGGCTTTACATAATGAACTAATACTTTCTTAACAGATATTTCCCAGTAGTAGGAGTATTTTTTCTGTAAAATTCAAGGTTTCAGCTTTCAGATTACTGTGAATTCAGAAATTATTGTGAGGTTATTATTAATGCGAATAATGCGACGGGGTGAGTATTGCAATAATAAGAACTTGCATTCTGATATCTGACGCATATATCTATATGCAGGTTTTCCTGAAATCGCAATAAATAATCACGAATTTATGTCCATTCTTCAAAAAGCGCAATAATAAATGCACACAATAATTTCTGAATTTACAGTATGTTATAAACTTTTACTGTTTGAAACAAAAATTTAACTGTTCGTGGGTGTTAAAAATATAGGTGGGTAATTGATAAAATAATACTGAAAGAAGTGGGTTTTTTTTTTAAAGAAAATAGAGGTATACATTTTGTAGATATGATTCTTAAAATCAAGTGATTTTCATGTCATTTATATCCGAGATACATAGATTAAGTACAAGGTCATCACCTGACACTACCGGTCATCCTTTTTATAAGCTACAATGAAATAAAATCACTTAGTTTAGTGATTTATTGTGCTACTCAAATAGGTGATTATAAAAGAAAGACTACTCTTACTTCCAACATTTTTGGACAAAATGTTACTTTAATAAGTGATTTAAGAAATCACTCATTTAAGTAATTCCCCCTGACTGGTTATAGTGATAATTAACTGCAATATTGGATAACAGGTCCCTAGACCTTTATGCTTTATTCCATATGCAGCAATCTAAGCCAATACATTCTTGCTAAGTTCCGCTCAGCAATCTTGGCTTTATATTATTTTAGTCTGTATAGCATGACGAACTGTCCCTGATATAATCAAACATGTCTGATAGAAAGTGATGGAGCAAACTTACAGCATTTAGACAGCAGTTTTAGAGCTTGCAAATTTTTTTGTAATCTAATACATTACCAATCACCTTTCATGTCATGATGTTCAGCAAAAAAATAAAACTTTGAATTCACGTATGATAATCCTTTGTCTGATTATGACTATGTGGGTACATGCTGAGACTACTATAACATTTAAGTACATTTAGTAGACCTCAGGTACATGTGAACCACAAATAAACTTTTAATGCTCACAAATTACAAATTTTCGATAAGTCTGTACCCAAAACCACAAAATCAAATGTCTACTCAAATGCAAGTTTTCCTCAATCCATGAAATTTGGTACCCACAAAAATAAATGAATCCACAGTATACAGATAGTACATGTAGTAAGTAGTTTAGCACAAATGCAGTATTATGTACTATTTTGTATTAAATTTGGTCATGATAGACAACATTTATATTGTATAATACATAAAAAGTATAACAGAAATTGCCAACAATCTTGATCAGTAAAACAGACAACACTAACAACACCTGACTCCTCCAAAAAAATATCCATACAAACAAAGACACAAACAACTCCTGGTCCAGATAGTACTTTTACAAGCGCCAAAATCTCCCTCTTTGTTTATTTGTTATGTTTATACCATGTTATGATATTGATGTATGAGAACCAGGCATGGGGCAAATTACATTGCAATGTAATGCATTACATTACAATTACTTAAACAAAACCAGCATTATATTACAATTACAGTTACATGTATTTTGGAAAGTAATGCATTAAATTCCAATTACTTTACCAAAGTAATGCATTATATTACACATTACAATTTACATTTTATTAATTTTATTATCAGAAAAAACATACATAAAACATTTTATACTGCAATCTTGGTAACTATTATATAGGTATTATAAAAATCATTTCATTGCCCTATAGACCAAATGACAGCAGTCAAACAAATGTGAATAGCTTCCTGAAGGTTATCATACAATTTTTTACATACATCCTTGGCCTTAGTCTGTATCAATTTAGATGAGAGATGTTTCTGGCTTGGAATTTGAAAGTTTGGGTTAAGATTTTCTAAAAATTTCTTAGACTTTTGCTTTCAACTGTTGAAAATGGGAGTAAATCACTTCTAGCAATATACTCGAAAAGTGAATCTATAGCTTTGTTTTGCTTTGGGTCATTTAATTAATATTTCTGAATACCAGATGGATTTACAAAGTTTGCCAAGGTTGATAGTTCTTCTGAGTCAGGCTTTTATATTTCCAAGTATACATCTCTGTGTTTTCTCACAAAAGAAATAACAGAAATGTTTTAAGGAATTTTTTCTACCATTATGTTTTTTTGATTTATATATTGTTAACTTAATCTCAATGTTAATTAATTACTTTAAAGTCACAAATACACTTGTCAAAAGAAAGGAATTGATTGCTATACAAACTCATTAGTGGTTTTTGTCAGGTGTCCATTATCAATCATTCAACTTATTTCTTTCATGTTTAATTATCATGTATTGGTTTTTCAATGACTATAATGGTATATGAAAATGACTACAAATAAAAAACAATTTTACTTTTGTATGTTTAAAAATAGATCTGTTTTAATTGTTAGTATAAATGTTTTAGTATTAAGGTAAGATGAAGAAAATCATAAGTTTTACAACAGTTCAAATTTACACTTTTTGTTAATCCTTTAACTAGACATTGGTTTGTGTTTAATTTTCCTATTTTCTGAAAAGAAAGAATACAACAGTAGTACTTGTTATCCCTGAAATTTGTAGCAATAAATAGCACTATTAGACAAGATTTAATGCTATATAATGCCATGTAATGCATAAATTACATGCATCTTTGCCAATGTAATGCATTACATTACAATTACATGTAATGCAAAAAATTTGGGCATTACACATTACATGCATTACTTGGGGAAATGTAATGCATTAAAGGGCATTACAATTACAAATTAGCATTACCCCATGTCTGATGAGAACTATATATTCATGTTAAAATTAACTAGATTTTACATTAAATTTCAGGTTCAAGTCAGGTAGTTTTGAGACCAAAGACCACAGAGGAAGTGTCAGCCATTTTGAAATATTGCAATGAAAGAAAATTAGCAGTGGTGCCTCAGGGTGGAAATACAGGACTGGTTGGAGGAAGTGTTCCTGTCTTTGATGAAATTGTTGTTTCTACACAGCTAATGAACCAAATCATAAGTCTTGATGAGATTTCTGGTAAAAACTTTAGGAAATGATAGCATATGAAATTAATCAAATGGAAACCTGAATTCTTGTTTCACAACAATATAACCTTTTGATGTCTTTTACTGATTGTAATACTGGACAGTGAACATGTCTTTAACTGATTGTAATACTGGACAGTGAACAATATTTTTATGCCCCACCTAGGAGCATTATATTTTTCAGTCTGTGCATCTGTTCGTTCGTCCATCTGTCCCGCTTCAGGTTAAAGTTTATGGTCAAGGTAGTTTTTGATGAAGTTAAAGTCCAATCAACTTGAAACTTAGTACCAAGGTTGGGCGGTATTTACCACCCCCGGTATTTACCAGTGGTATTTACCGGTATTTACCGCCCCGGACAATACTCCCCAAGTGGTCAATACTGGCAAATACTGGTCAATTGAAATTTTCATACTTCTTTTGACTGACTTATCTATCAATTCTAGTAAAAAAATGGTTGATGAGGGAAAACTTTATTCCTTTGGCATGATTCAATTTATAAAAATGAATGATATTGGTATGTTATTAATTATTAAAACATTAAAAATGACTAATTTAGTTCTTAGGGGTAATGATATTGCATACTTTTGGTATACATATAAAATTGAGCAGCTATATCAGTTATTCTAACATGTATAAATCAAGATATTTTTTTCTTGAAAAGGTTTGAATTTTACAGGTAAATAGAATTACAAGTGACTAGCAATATAGATTATCAGAACATTACCTATTATATGGCTAACAGGTGTCAAAAGTTTAATTACTATAACAACTGTCCCCTAATAAATGTTGACATAACAGGAAAAAAGTCATAAAAGTTATTTCTAAAGATTGTTTTAAACAATGAATTAATTCCTGACTATTCAACAGCATGATAAAAATGTTCTAAATGTAGGAAATGTTTTTTTTAATAAATATATAACATATATATTTATAAAACAATTTTTTTTAATTTTTTAATTGCATCTTTCAAAATAACTGTTAAGAAAATCAGATGTTATATAGTCTCTCTTAAGTGACTGACTTCATGGTGTTAATGACTATATCTGTTGTATGATTAAATTAATATTTGATAAATCTTCATTAAACCATGTTCATGAACTAATCAATTGTGACTTTTTGTCTTATTACAATGTAGTAAATAAGTGACTTTCTGCCTTGTGACTATATCTATCCATTTACCAAGTAATTGACCTGAGGTAGGGACTAGTTTTCAATTGACCAGTATTTGCCAGTATTGACCAGTATTTGCCAGTATTTCCCAGTATTTACCGGTATTTACCGCCGGCATGGTCAATACTAGTATTGACCGCTTTTTTGCCAACCTTGCTTAGTACACATGTTCCGTATGATATGATCTTTCTAATTTTAATGCCAAATTAGAGTTTTGATCCCAATTACTTGGTCCACTGAACATAGAAAATGATAGTGCGAGTGGGGCATCCATGTACTATGGACACATTCTTGTTTTTTATGTACTAGATTATATTTCATTCAAAACAAAACTGTAATAAGCACAGACATTACATAATATCGTTGCAACTTTAAAACATTAAGCATGCAGCATTAAGGAGTACGATCAAAGACTGATCACCTCAGAGTCAAATAATGTGGACGAACAGGGTGACATATTCCCTGGTGACTGTAACCTTGTGAACTAGCACGTTATAACACAGACTCAGCGTGTCTGTTTACCAGGGTTAATATTTATATTACATTAACATATTCTTGTCCTGAATAGTCATTAATTTGCTGCTGGACCACCATAAACCATCAGCACCAAGATTGTCTGCAGTATATTCTTAACATTTTGATCTTTTAGCATAAAAGTGAAATAATCAAACAATCAAAATAATAAATTGTGGAAAGATTTTGCAATTTTGATTTTTTGTCGAGCCTGCGACTTTTGTCACAGAAAGCTCGACATAGGGATAGTGATCCGGTGGCGGCGGCGTTAGCTAACTTCTTAAAAGCTTTATATTTTAGAAGGTGGAAGATCTGGATGCTTCCTACTTTGTATATGGATGCCTCATGTTACGAAGTTTCCGTCAGTCACATGTCCAATGTCCTTGACCTCATTTTCATGGTTCAGTGACTACTTGAAAAAAAAGTTAAGACTTTTTGTAATGTTAAATTCTCTCTTATAAGTTATAGGATAACTATATTTGGTATGTGCGTACCTTGCAAGGTCCTCATGCGCGTCAAACAGTTTTCACTTGACCTCGACCTCATTTAATGGATCAGTGAACAAGGTTAAGTTTTGGTGGTCAAGTCCATATCTCAGATACTATAAGCAATAGGTCTAGTATATTCGGTGTATGGAAGGACTGTAAGGTGTACATGTCCAACTGGCAGGTGTCATCTGACCTTGACCTCATTTTCATGGTTCAGTGGTCAAAGTTAAGTTTTTTGAGTTTTGGTCTTTTTTTCTAATACTATATGCAATAGTTCAACTATATTTGGTGTATGGAAATATTTTATGATCTATATGTCAGTCACACAGGTTTTATTTGACCGTGACCTCATTTTCAAGGTTCATTGCTCAGTGTTAAGTTTTTGTGTTTTGGTCTGTTTTTCTTATACTGCATGCAATAGGTCTACTACATTTGGTGTATGGAATGATTGTAAGGTGTACATGTCTAGCTGGCATGTGTCGTCAGACCTTGACCTCATTTTCATGGTTCAGTGGTCAAAGTTAAGTTTTTGAGTTTTGGTCTTTTTTTCTAATACTATATGCAAAAGTTCAACTATATTTAGTGTATGGAAATATTTTATGATCTATATGTCAGTCACACAGGTTTTATTTGACCGTGACCTCATTTTCAAGGTTCATTGCTCAGTGTTAAGTTTTTGTGTTTTGGTCTGTTTTTCTTAAACTATAAGCAATAGGGCAACTATATTTGTTGTATGGAAGAGTTGTTAGCTGTACATGCCTGCCTAGCATGGTTCATCTGACCTTGACCTCATTTTCATGGTTCATTGGTCAATGTTTAGTTTACTTGGTTAATGTTAAGTTTATGTGACAGTTGTAATAAAGCTTTATATTTAGGACTATCAACATAATATCAATGATTAGTAAAGAAGGCGAGACATTTCAGCATGTGCACTCTTGTTATTAAAAAGTCCCGATAGACCCCAATATTTAGAGCTATTTTCCTAATGCTTGTAGATTAAAGGTTTGATTGGCTTGCTTGCTTTGTTTGTATATAGATTTAAGAAGATGTGGTATGAGTGCCAATGAGACAACTCTCCATCCAAGTCACAACTTATAAAAGTAAACCATTATAGGTCAAAGTATGGTCTTCAACACAGAGCCTTGGCTCACACCAAACAGCAAGCTATAAAGGGCCCCAAAAAATTACTAGTATAAAACCATTCAAACAGGAAAACCAACTGTCTAATCTATATAAAAAGCGAGAAACGAGAAACACTTATGAACCACATCAACAAACGACAACTACTGAACATCAGATTCCTGACTTAGGACAGGTGCAAACAATAGCAGCGAATGTTTGCTCAAACATTGTAATTAAGATTGACATCTGCAATCAATAAACAAGCGGGGCTTCAGCTTGTATATACATGTATTATAATTAAATGTTATTGGATATAATGTATAATGCAGAGCATAATGTGTACAAGCTGAAGCACTGCCTATCTATTGATTGCAAATGTCAATCTTAATTACAATGCTTGAGCAAACATTTATACAAACAAAGCAAGCAAACCAACCAAACCTTTAAACTACAAGCATTAGGAAAATAGCTCTAAGATAGTTTAAAACTTTTTGAAATCTTGGAATTTTGCAATTAATGTTAAGTTAGAATAAATCAATTAAAAAAATAATTGTTTTAAGTTTTTGAAAACTTGATATTTTATTTAAAGAGTTATAATAAAAAAAAAAAAAATATGCTTGGTATTTTGAAATTTTGATACATGTATATGTAATGTGTAATCAAAGTTTTAAAAGTAAAAAATTTAAACCAGATTTAAAGAAAATTTGTTTTCACGTTTGAGTTAGAATTCAAGTTTGTAATTATTTTTTTGTTCAAATTGAAGTTTCCGTAAAAGTTCAATCAAATGTTTGAGATACAAACCAAAGTTTTGATAAAGGTCAAGTTGAAATTTGAACAGTAGTCAAATTCAGAGATTGAATAATAATTTAGTTCCAAGATAGTCTGTTTTTATAGGCAGTGCTTTAATGCCTTTCTGGTTGCTGGGTTAATCTTTCCTTACGCGATGTCCGACATATCTACATGGGGGGTCATTTGGCCAAAATAAGATCCGGAAATGTTGAATTCTCTCCTCTTCTTCTTGTGATATAAAATGTTTTTTGTTTCATTTCATTTACATTGGGAAATAAAGAAACGATCAGTGTGTTTTGTTAGTTTTCAAAACTTTTGATATATTTGTATTTTACATTATAAGCAGTCAACAGATTGACAAACTAGAATTATTTGAATTCCGTGTGGAACGAGGTCGGGTCAATTTCAAGTGTTATCTGCAATCTAGGTGTTTTTAAATGATTTCAGTCGTTGATATAACAATTAAAGATCGACTGAACATGAATTATGTTGCATATTATAAAGCGCATTTCTGTTTATGCAAGTGAACCTATGACGTTATTGCTATTTCGGCATCAGTTATAAAAAGTATTATCGTTCCTGGATAGGTGGCGCCGTGGAAGCCGTTCCTGTTCATTAACTTCCGGTATCTGCACTGTGCAAATTTACAATTTTAATATTAACGATGCCCAGTACTTGTTGTTGTGTACCTGGATGTCATTTAAGAGGAGAATATGCATTTCAAAATGACTTAAAAAGAAGTGAAAGTTGGATCAACGCCATGGCCCATACGCAGATTGGACGAGAACACGAGTCCATCTCAATCAGCTGTTGTTTGCAAGGCACATGTACATTTGACTGAAAACGACTACGTGCAGGAAACTATTCATGGTAAAACTTTATTATCTTTTAGAAATATAAACAGTTATATATTGATCGCCACGCGAATAAACCAAAGTCTGTTTACAACCGCGATTATCGTTTGAGAATAAAAGGGGGTGGTTAATTCAAGACATCTTAATTTTTTTGATTACTATTCAATGTGATCTGTTTGAGATTTTTTGGTTAATGCTACAATTATAATGATTTCCTACTAGAGGTGTATCATACTGAGAATTATTTTAGCAGTAATTATGCTAATGTATGATGTAGTTATCAGGTTATGACAGGAATGCATAAGCTTAGTACAAATAATTATGACGTCTTGAAAGGCTATTTTAATTTTTTTCTGTGATGCCTTCCTACGACCGTAAGAAGGCGTCACAGAAAAAATTAAAATAGCCTTTCAAGACGTCATAATTATTTGGACTAGCATAAGCTATGCCTCATAAGCTATCTCGAAAAATATCAATGACAATGTTAACAGGAACAAAACAATGACATGCTCTCATCTATATTATAGTTATTTAGGTACATTGTACGTGTGTTGCATAAGTCTCTCATTGTTTGTCCATTGGATTTACATACATGTAACATACATTGAATCAGACCGCAAACATAGTTTTAAACTTTTATCCACATTGTAATGAATAAATCTAGTTAACATTTCGCCAGGTACAACAAATGTAGTACAAAGTAAACATTGCTTATGGAAGTTCATTTAATTTTCAAAAAACTAATATTTTATAACCTTTTTCAGGGCGCAAACCCACCTTACATGCTTACAGAGACTTATGTCTACTGCCATTCCCAGCCTATTTTTCCTGGACCAAGCAAGAGACTGAATCGTCCGCAAAAAGAAAAATCAGGGCAGTTTCCCATGAAAAACAAAAGAACTAAACTGGACGAATATTGTAGGAGGAAAGTTTTGATTGTGAAGTTGGTATCCTGAAGAAGTCATTCATACTGCAGAAAGGATTTATGACTGTCCACAACCAACTGCCAAGCTAATGTTGAGCTTCACAGATGGAATTACACAAACACCATCAATGCCTATGTTTTCAGCAGAGAATTGCGCAAATGATGACACAGCCATGCATTTTTATACCTGTTTAGAGTCGTTTACCAAATTTTTATTTGTTTTGACCACGCTTGGTCCAGCAGCACATTGTTTGCGATACATATATTTTCAAATTGATAGCATGTCAGTTGAAAATCAGTTTTTTATGACTGATGAAATTGAGGCATTAACCAACTTTGAACTGTCTAGATTGTTTTCAATATCTGAATCTAGTGTTAAGAATATTGTGTATACATGGATTGTTTTTTATACATGTACATGTATGTCTAAACAGTGGCGAGAGGCTAACACTTGGCCATCTAGCGGTTTAGTCAGGTATTTTTCGCCATCTGAATTCAAATTAAAGTTTCCTTCAACTAGGATTATTATTGACAGCACAGAATGTCCTGCGAAAAAACCTAAAGCTCCTAGAGCTCAACAGGCAACCTTTTGATCATATAAAAACAGAAACACTGAAAATACTTGTATGTTCGACACCTGGTGGTTTAGTCAACTATGTCTCTAATGCATATGTTGGTTGTACCAGTGACTGTCAAATAGTTGAACAATGTAGAATAGTTCAATTATGTGATCCAGGTGACAGTGTGATGGCAGATAAAGGTTTTAATGTGCAAGATTTGTTTGCTAAAATGGATGTTGCTGTCAATGTTCCAACTTTTTTTCAAAAAGAGAAACAGATAGTTGAAAAACTCTTATACGGGATAGAAAAGTGTCCAATAAACAGGTGCATATAGAGCCTATTATCATGATTATCTGACTTGGCAAAACATACAAAATTCTAACAAATCCTATGAATGGAACTGAAACAAAACTTTCATCTGAAATAACATTTAGTTGTTTTATATTGTGTAATTTTAGAACTTGTATTGTGCCAAATGATTCATAAATGAAAGTGGTGCAATGAATTCTGTTCTGATATATATTTACAATTACATGTACATGTAAATTGTAAAGCATATGAAAATAAGGAGATTTTGTATGATATTCGGTGAGTTTATCAAATCAAAGTGCATAAGAAATGGGTATAAGCAGTTACAGGTGTTACTGTAACCGTACAATCTCCAACAATGAGTAAAACTAATACTGTGTAGAGAATTTCAGAGATCTTACAACTAAGTTTATACTGTGACTAAGCAATGCTCCGTGTTGAAGGCCATACCTTTACCTATAATGGTTTACTTTTATAAATTGTAACTTGGATGGAGAGTTGTCTCATTGGCACTCATACAACATCTTCCTATATCTATTTGTTTTTGGGTTAAATCATTTTCTTCTGTTGTCTTATACATGTAAATATGGAGAGGTGGTTCAAATGCTAATGAGACAACTATTATGACCGTGACCAAACAACGAGGTGACATTTTTTTCTTAATTAAGAACTCCTTTTTAATACGCCCGTTTACAGGACGTATTATGGTATACCGTTGACCGTCCGTCTGTCGTCAACATGTCGGACATTAATTCAAAAACACTTTAACCAATATGCACGAAACTTTGGTGAATTGTTTATTCATTCATAAATTACTTTATACTTGGAAATAATTTTGCTTGGAGTTATAGTTTCTAGAAAAAGTATGGTCATCGAAAGATGAGACATGTTGCAATGTAATGTTACTTAATGTTCTTGCAATACACACAATAATGTGACTAAGCAATCATTATGAACTACTTTTCATAGGATGGAAGTCATTAAATATGCTAATATAAATCAATAATAAAGAATAGTCTATTTATATTAATAAGGAAAAGTTCTTTTATGTCTTAAAAGTGCGTACCATGGCGAGGTACAGAAAATCATATATATACGGTGATTATCACCAAGGTTCAAATTTATTTTCTGAAGTATAGGAAGACAATGTCTAGAGATTGACTGTATGTTACCATAGTTTACAATAAAATTTATATAACAGATCCATATAAAGTGTATTTTATAATTATGCCACAGTATCTATTATCATCAACCATGCCAAAATAAATGCTTGGTATATGATATCCAATATGTAACTCTACAGATACAGACATATACATGTACTATGTGCAAGTTAATTATATCAAACCGTCATACAAATTGCCTTTAAACATCAAAGTGTACTGAGATTTAATACCAGCATTCTTGTTAGCATACTTTACCATGAGCTGTGTTGCATAAACATGGCATATACATTTGAATATGTGTTCACCATATTCTTAAAGCTGTTGAATTCAAGGATAGAAGGTAAATACCATCCTACATATATAAAATGGTAGATAGACATCTATGCACGATATGTTCAACAGGAGTATTCTACATAGTTCTATGCTACCAAATCAAAAGTTTATATAAAAGAAAGAAGTCAAAGGTTTCCCATCATAGTTTAGTTAAATATTTTTTTTGTACCTGAGGTCGTTGAATATAGGTCATATTATACAAATAAGGAGATGTGGTATGATTGCCAATTTAACAACTATCATCCATGCTTACTAGTAACAAACCACATTTGCAAAGTTGAATAAAAATACAGTTGATATCTGGTATTTATTCCTAAAAAGAAAATGCCCAACTGTATTAAACAGTATTTGACTATAAACACAGATAAACTAGGTACAAACTGGACATAATGCACTAGTTCATAAACAAGTTAGAACAATCACCTTCATATAATGCTCAGAATATTCTATTCATGAAACTTGTTCAATATCATTAGAGAACTCTAAATCTTAAATACTGGAAGCCACCTCTGATAAGTACAATGTACTATGCAAGATAATGATATAACTGGACTAAAAATACACACAACCTGTAATTAACTGCCTTTACAGTGCTTTCGCGCTTTGATTATTTTTAGAAGTTACTATTTAAAAAAGCTGTTTAAGGAATATTAATTTTAGCCATGATTATGTACCGGTATGTCATTTTCAATTTTAAGACTTTTATGATGTATTTAAATGGGTAATTATGGTTGCAAACTCCATTGGAAATTTGAATTGAGATTATGACCATATCTTGAGGGAAAGAATTTTTTTTTGGGGGAAAAAGGGGGGGGGGGGGGGGGTGAAAAAAAATTGGGGAGGGTCAATTCACAACAGCATAGCATAGTGTATTGCACAAAAGCAAAAAATTGAATATAAATTCAAATCATATAACCAATTCTAAGTTCTTTGACTACAGTTATTCTGTGTCAGAAACATATTATGTGTCAAATATTTAATTACAATCCAAATTCAGACCTGTATCAAGCGCGAATATTGTGTCCAATTTTGCCCCAACTGTTCAGGGTTGGACCTCTGCTTTCGAATCCAGCTGCGCTAGGCAAAGCAATTTATTCAGGGTTGGATCCCATTTTACACATAAGTTCATGTAATAATGTCTGAAATCTATGATATTATCCAGTATATATTAGACTTGTCTTTCTATTTTCAGGAACATTGGTTTGTGAAGCAGGCTGTATTCTTGGTAACCTTAGTGACCATGTGGCTGAAAGTGGAATGATTATGCCACTTGACCTTGGAGCCAAAGGAAGCTGCCATATTGGTGGTAACTTAGCAACCAATGCTGGAGGACTTCGACTGTTGAGATATGGATCATTACATGGAAGTGTGTTAGGCCTGGAGGCTGTAAGTCAGCAGTTATTTAATTACTGTGGATTCATTATTATTCATGGGATACTAATTTTCCTGAGATAACATGGACCATGAATATAAGTTTTCAACAAAATTCATAAATTTTATATAGATATAAGAAGATGTGGTATGAGTGCCAATGAAACAACTCTCCATCCAAGTCAAAATTTATAAAAGTAATCCATTATAGGTCAAATTACATTCTTCAACACAGAGCCTTGGCTCACACAGCACAGCAAGCTATAAAGGGCCCCAAAAATTACTAGTGTAAAACCATTCAAACAGGAAAACCAACAGTCTAATCAATATAAAAAACGAGAAACGAGAAACACTTATGAACCACATCAACAAACGACAACTACTGAACATCAGACTTAGGACAGGTGCAAACAATAGCAGCGGGTTTAAACGTTTTAATGGTACCAAACCTTCACCCTTATCTGAAACAAGTGTAACATCACAACATAGAAAGACACACTATAAAATATCAATTGAAATGTATATGCTCGTATGCAAAATTTGTTAAATCTACGAACAAATACTTTTACCTCAATCCAAGAAAATTTATATTCACAAAAATGAATGAATCCACTGTATTTATTGCAAAGATATAAATTTTGAAGTAAATTTTTATGAATATGTATAATTCTTGAGATATATGTTTTCATCTCATAAAAAACATTGAGATCATATTTAAAAGTATATTATTGACTTGAAAAGATGCTGGTAGGAATAAATTTGATGTCTGGTTTGATCATAAGCACCTAACAGTGTGATTTATCAAGAAAGGCAACTCTTTGTGATATTAAATGAGATGAAAGAATTTTTTGAAACAAAATGTATAGAAGAAATGTAGTGATAAATAAGTATTTTATCTGAATTTTTTTTGGCATTTATTGATTGCGGAAAAGTGTTATAAATTATTATTTGTTAATTGGAGTATAATAAAAAAAAAAAAGCAGTTTAAGGAAAATCTGTATACAATTACACAGCTCTGCACTGACCCCTGCCCTGCCGAAATTTTGTGAAAAAAAATAAAATATTTAGCTTTATTTTAATTAAAAAAGATTTTTCTATTGAAAATGATTTTATACCAAAACATACCTGAACATATGAATATTTAACACACTGAATGTCAGATTTTATGACTGGAAAAGTGTGTCTGTGCCAGGTAAAAATGTCTTGTGTAAAATATCGCCAAAACATCTACCGGGTAAATTTTTCTTTAAGTTGTGAATGTGGCAATTTCACAATAAGTGTCCGTTTCAACAAAAATTCAGGTTCACAATTTTGGAAGCCAAGGTCAACATACTATACTATATACTGACAGACAAGTAATCACACAGTAAAGAAAATTGCTAAATTTTTTACAATTTAAACAAGTTGTATATACATTCAATAGAAAAGGCCAAATATCTTACAACACCAAAGTTTCAAATGAAAATCATGAACATTGTGAACAGATGTTTGAGATTTCCTAGTCCTGTTCTTACTTATGTTTTCAGTTTTAATATTACATATATAAATTTCTTTGCAGGTTCTTGCTAGTGGGGAAGTGGTAGATTGTTTATCAACTTTGAGGAAAGATAATACAGGATATGATGTCAAACAACTATTTATAGGATCAGAGGGAACTCTGGGGTTGATAACAAAAGCGTCAATACTTTGTCCACAAAAGCCAAATGCTGTAAATGTGGCTTTTCTAGGTAAGACAGGCTGTGAATTATAAAAGTCTATGGTTCATCACAGAGGTTGTAGTGGACAGCTACTGTCATACATACCAGTAATAAAATATTACATGAGAATTATTAACTTCAGAAATTATTGTGAATTTTTTTATTTTTGTGAAAATTGTGACAGTATCAGGTTCGCAATAATAAAAACTTGCATTCATAATTTCAACAGTGATTTTTTCGTCATAAAATATTTGCAATTGCACTAATTAAATTTCAAATTTTTGCCAGAGATCTAGGATTCGCAATAATAAATGCATGCATTAGTCTCTTGATTTACAGTATTAAGATTCATTACATGAATGGACAACAAAATTTACAAACATTAATAAAATACTAGACGGCAGTTGTTTACATCCATGTCCAATGGTGGATAGTAGTTTCATCTGCATTCAAAGTCTTCTTACTTTTAAAGTGAGAATTTTAATTGTTGCTGCTAACAATTACTGTTCTGTTTCAAAAGTTAGGAATGATAAGTTATGACAAAAAAAAATCACAACTATTGTAACTCTCCAGGTTACTGGAAATTTTGAATTTCATACAGTAAGCAAGTCAAGTCAGATAAAAGTAATCCTGTAAAGTGTCACTATAAGTAAATATTTTAAGTTATTACCTGGTACACAGGTTCAAAGATTTACAGGTGTGCGTAGGTTAAATCTGACACAGGTCAATGTGACTTTTTTAGTTGATTATATTTTAGGGCTTTTATACCCTTTTAGCATTATTAAAGACCATATTATGATCCCTAATTGTCTCATAATATTTTTAAGTTGTTTTGGTTTCTGTATTATTGGTGTATGCTTCACATTTTTATTTTATTCACAAAATACAGCATTTTAAGCGTTTTTTCATTTTAGGTTGTGACAGTTTTGAGAGGGTTCTTGATATATTCAAAGAAAGTAAAATGAAACTAGGAGAAATTTTATCAGCCTTTGAATTTTTGGACGCAGATGCCATAGCAGTTGCCAGAGACAATCTAAAACTTTCCATACCTATAGACGACACCTTTCCATTTTATGTACTTATTGAATCATCGGGATCTGACGGAACTCATGATGAGGAGAAAATGAATGGGTTCCTCGAAGACATGATGAATCGAGGATATGTCATTGACGGTACAGTGGCGTCTGAGCCAGCCAAAATTCAAGTTTGTATTATATAATATATAACAAATTGTGAATTTAAAAGCAGAAATGATGAAACCTCTGATCAATTTTAACACTTTGTCTTGAAAAAAAAATTATGTTACACACATTAACCAGTACTGTTTCTTTTGCAAGAAAAATGCAAAATGAAGGAATAGTTTGTTCAGACCCAATTATAACTGACTATATTTTTTAAATTATTGTTGAAGGTCATTGAGTGACCTATAGTTTATTAAAACCACATCAGTTGGATAGTTGTATCAATAGCAATCATACCACATCTACTTATTTTATATTAAGAATTTCTTTGAAAAGTTACGAAAGACTCTTGAATTTGTACTTGTTGCTTACTTGTGAGTAATTAACATGTATTAGTAATATCAAGCATGGTCAACTCAAAGTCAGAATAATTGTAGGGATGATGTATCCTTTTGTAAACTATTCCTTTGCAAGATAGCCTGTTCACAATTGATTGTAATAGTTGGTCTAGTTTAAAACAGAGTTCATATTCATAACATATACTGGAAATTCAGAAATTATTGTGTGCATTTATTATTGCGATTTTTGAAGACTGAACAAAAATGTAAGATTAGTTATTGCGCTTTCAGGAAAAGCTTCATGCATATATATGTGTCTGATATGAGAATGCGAGTTCTTTAAAATTATTGCAATATTCACCCAGTCGCATTATTCGCATTAATAAAAACCTCGCAATAATTTCGGGATTTACAGTTAACATATTCTTGTCTTGAATATGTTTCAAAATTTTCACCATGAATGGTTGTAATTTTAGTAGTATGCAAACCAGTATACAAAGCTGCTCCATAAGAATCTGTAGAACAGCAATAAGTGGGTTATTCCTTTCAGAAATGGTAAAATCCCAAGATTCCTTAAAACACTATCACAAATAAAATATACATCTCCCCCATTTTTCCTTTCTTTAAGTTGGTATTTTGAATGAGATAGGAAAGCATCAATTAATGAATAAAGGGAGATAACTACTTTCCATCTGCCTTGAAACAAGTAGCATATAAATGCAGTGATATATAGAGCAAATCACCAATGACCAAACTTTTTTTCCCCTACAAAGTTGTACTCAGTTTGATTTTTTCCACATAAATAGTTTTTTCCCACAATTTTGATATTTTTTTCTTCTAAATTTAACTATAAGAATAAAACAAAACACACGTTCATTAGTTTGCAGCAGAAAACTCAAACTGTTCTTAAGTTAATAGTAATGATAAGAATTGTTGAAATTAAGTTATAATTATCTGACATTGTATTATCTGCACTGTAAAGGATAACTTATATGCATTATGTGTTTTGAAAAAATAAAATAAATATAAAAAAAAAAAACTAGGAATCATATAAATCACATTGCATCATATTGAAATCCATTGTTTTACATTGTTTTAGGAAGAAGTATTACCTAAACAACATAATGAATAATTTCATTGATTTAATAAACAAATGTGAAAAGCATGCACTTTCTCATTTTACAACCAAATCTTTAAGATTGAAGACTATGAACGGTTAAGACCACATGTTTTTAATTTATGAAAATTCCATGTATCATTTCAGTATATTTGGTCTGTTAGAGAGAGGATAGCAGAAGGACTAATGCATGATGGGTATTGTTACAAGTATGATGTATCTATTCCTTTATCACATTATTATGGATTGGTGGAGGCAGTAAGGGAGAGAACTCAAGGCAATACTACTAGGGTCATAGGTTATGGTCATGTAGGAGATAGTAAGTATAGATCACATGTAAGATAATATTAGAAAGGGAGAGAACTCTGGGCAATACTGCAAGGGTCATAGGTTATGGTCATGTAGGAGATAGTAAGAATAGATCACATGTAAGATAATATTAGTAAGGGAGAGAACTCTGGGCAATACTACTAGGGTCATAGGTTATGGTCATGTAGGAGATAGTAAGTATAGATCACATGTAACAATTTAGATTGTTTGTACTAAAAATCCTGATTATTTTTTATTTGATATTTTCTAATATTCAGGATACAATGATTTATTAACTGTTTCATTTTTTGTGCTAAATTTCATAATGACTTTTCACCTTGAATAACAAGTTGTTGTGATATACTTTTCTATCTGCAGAAGGTTAACTTTTTTTTGCAGAAGACAGCTCCTCTATTTCAAGTCTTCCTAAATGAGGGTCTGGATGGGGGGTTTCTTAATTTGTATACTCTTAGACTTTTTACAGCATTTTTTTTTTATCTTTAAAAATAACGCTTATTCTGTTAAGTTGTAATGAAAATGATTTTACTATTAAAATTTTCTGTTCTAATTAGATATAAGAAGATGTGGTATGAGTGCCAATGAGACAACTCTCCATCCAAGTCAAAATTTATAAAAGTAAACCATTATAGGTCAAAGTATGGTCTTCAACACGGAGCCTTGGCTCACACCGAACAGCAAGCTATAAAGGGCCCCAAAAATTACTAGTGTAAAACCATTCAAACAGGAAAACCAACGGTCTAATCTATATAAAAAACGAGAAATGAGAAACACTTATGAACCACATCAACAAACGACAACCACTGAACATCAGATTCCTAAGTTGATTTCTTTATTCTGCACATTGTTTCTTTCTGTAATCCTTATTATCCATTGTTATTCTTTATACTTTTGCACCCCATTATTCTTTGCTCCATTTATTTTTGGCCATTATTCTCTATTCTGTAAACCCAATCCAGATTCTCCTAAATAAGGAAGGGGTTATACAGCTATGGATAAATAAATCTTAGGTCCAGTTGATAATATATATATAATAAAGTTGACATGGATTGTATATAGAAAGTAGGGGAGAAAATTCATGAGCATAACCTTAAATATTGACATTCTGCATAAACATTTCATTTTTTTAGCTATTATTCTGTGTTTTCACACTTTATGAGTAACTAGATTTTAACTTTGTTTGCTCTTTTTTATTAGGTAATTTACACTTAAATGCTACGTCACCTGAATATAGTCAGACAACAATGGACTTACTAGAACCTTTCCTGTATGACTGGGTAGCTAAACACCGTGGAAGTATCAGTGCTGAACATGGTCTTGGGTTCAAAAAGCGGGACTTTATTTACCACAGCAAATCAGAATCAGCTGTGAGACTAATGAATCAGATGAAACAAGTCTTAGATCCAAATGGCATATTGAATCCTTATAAATTGTTACCAACTGTGATAAGATAGTTATGGCAATTTAGTACTTTTCGTTTACAATTGTAATAGTCCTTTTTCTAGTCCTTTTTATACAATAAGTCCTTTCTTGTTTTATTGTTCTGTTGGTTTGCTGTCTCTTTGATGTATACCTTACATCTCTATTTGTTCATATTATCAACTAATATTACAAATTAAGAAAAAATATATTATGATGTTTTGAAATTGTGTAATAAGTGCAACAAGATGAAAATTGTGTTAAATAAAAATCCATGTTTTAAATTTCAAAATCAATTTTCATTTTATTTGTACACGAAATCCTGTTATGAATGCCTTATTTTTTAACATCTACAATTGTGTATAAGGCCAGTAACTTTCAAGTTTCAAGTTTCTAAAATATTACGGTCTTCATTTGACATCTGAATAATGTGTTAAGTTTTTAGAAATTTCAAAATTTTTTATTAATGCAAATAATACGAAGATATCCCATTCTGATATCTGATACATATCTCTGTATGCAAATTTTCCTGAATTTGCAATAATTAATCTCGCATTTTTGTCTATTCTTCAAAAATTGCAATAATAAATGAACGCAATAATTTCTGATTTAACAGTTCTCTTTGAAAGTCTTAGAGATGCAATAATTTTTGCACTTCATAAATACTACTTCTGTATTCTTGTGGTAGTGCGGTTGCCTTGAGTTTTGAAGATCAATGGTTCAATCTTTGGTCTTGTCAAACCAAAGATGTTAAAATTAGTATTTGCTTTTTCTCCAACAAGCACCTAGCAACTAGGCTTTAGGAGCAAAGTCTGAACAATGTCTTTGTATGGTCACATGTCTGTCTATAGACCTTTGTGAGATAGCTTATAAAGAAATTTGGCTTAGCTTTTGTGTAGTACAAAACAAGATTAATGATCATATCGCAATAACATGATATTAACCTAAATTTGCATTGACTATGCGGTATGGGTTATACTCATTGTTGAAGGTCATACGGTGACCTATAGTTGTTAATTTCTGTGTCAGTTGGTCTCTTGGTGGAGAGTTGTCTCATTGGAAATCATACCACATTTTATTTTTATATGTAATATTTGCCACTAGACGTAAATATCCACCAATCAATTAAGCAAAGCAGATTGAAAGCAATATATTCCTAACAATGAATGTTTGAGTGGCAACACTAGATTGTTACCCTTTCTGGCATCATATATAGTAAACAATATGGTTGTTACCTTTCTGGCATCATATATAGTAAACAATATGGTTGTTACCCTTTCTGGCATCATATATAGTAAACAATATGGTTGTTACCCTTTCTGGCATCATAGATAGAAAACAATATGGTTGTTACCCTTGGTTATTTATTTTTGTGAAAAAACATTACCTATGAAAATTCCTTTAATAAAGAAAAAATTGTTAATAGGCATTTATGAGTATTTGTTTATCTGTTTATTTTAATGCCCCACCTAGGGTCATTATGTAATTCGGTTTGTGTGTCCGTTTGTTCGTCTCTCCGTTCTGTCCCGCTTCAGGTTTAAGTTTTTGGTTAAAGTTTTTGGTCAAGGTAGGTTTTGATGAAGTTGAAGTCCAATCAACTTTAAACTTAGTACACATGTTCCCTATGATATGATCTTTCTAATTTTAATGCCAAATTAGAGTTTTGACCCCAATTTCACGGTCCACTGAACATAGAAAATGATAGTGCGAGTGGGACATCTATGTACTTTGGACCTTGGACACATTCTTGTTCTTAAGATTGTTATTGTTTAATGTTTTCTTTTCATATGTTTGGTATAAATAAATTTTATTCAGAAATATATAAATTTAGTTTAGAACTATTTCGTTACAATATTGTTGTAACATTTGTTATAAATGATTTCGGTAATATTCCAAGCATGATATGTGATATTGTTTAATGTTATATATATATTTAGATATACAAAGTTAAATTTTGGTGACCAAAGTTTTATTGTTGGTTAAAGTACCATAAACTTATATATGTTTCAATGTAAGGATTAGGAAAATATAAAATGTTTAAATTTCAGATTTTCGATGCCAAATGAGTGCAAGAGGAGTACTAAGATTTTTTTTTAAAAACATTTTTCTGAGGCAATGTGTTTCTCTGTCTGCCTCTTTATTTCCTTTTACATTTGCCTACAATTTACAAGAAAAATACCTTGTCAGTTTATAAATTGTGTGTTATCCATTAACATTTATTTTGACAATTGATTTAGTTCAAGGTAACAAATTCACTAAAGAATGGGAAATAACTCTTGTAAGACCTAAATATTGGTTGATTTTTTTTTGTTTTGAAAAACGTTTTTAATTTCAGTACTTTTTTTTATTGATATTGTACACTGAGTTTAAGTCAGTTGTGCATTTTCTATTAATCTTTAGGTGAAACTTTTTGAAAAGAAGTCAACTAATTTTTGTCTACCCCAAAATGTTAACACTCCAAAGATACTGTTTTGACTGCATATTTTCTTTTGCTACTTAGCTTTATCATTGTAAGATAAAAAGGTTCTCACCACAATTTGTGAAAATGCTACGAAAAATAATTCTGAAAATGAAATTAGCCAATGACCCTACGAATCTTTGTTTGTGACAGGAAAAATATGTTTCTGTAGAATTTAATTTTTCACTTCACAAAGTAATCTTTTTTCATTGTCTATTTCTTGTCCAACATTTACAATTTTCACCAATATATATTTTCCATTTTTTGCCATTGTAGTATTAAGAGAATAATTATTTAGCAAGCCTACCTGTTTCTAAGCTTGTACATTTTTTTCTTTATTCCAAGACAAGTCTGTGGTTATTTTACAATATTGTGGATTCATTTGTTTTCATGGGTACCTATTTTTGTGGATTGAGGAAAAGTTGTATTTTCGTTGATATTTGATTTTGTGGTTTTGCCAAAGTCTGCATACAGGCCAATAGAAAATTTGTAATTTGTTGAACATTTAAATTCATTTTATATGTACCCAAAAAATCCACAAAAATTGATATCCCACAAATGATAATGAATTCTAAGTAGATACATAAAGAATTTTTAAATTTATATACAAATACATTAAAAAAGGTCACATAGAGACAATCAATTACCACATACATGTTGTTAATGCACATCAGTGAGTAAATATGGCCATAACTCTATGGTTTTAATCTTATATTTTTTACTAGGTAAGAGAGGGGAAAAAAAATGTCTTTCCAGTCAACCACATGCTTAATTATTGAGGATGTTTTGAACACCCAGAAGAAACGTTTATTAATGTTTTAGTATATATATATTCATGTGGATACAACATATGGTAGATGTTACACTACCTGTGTTTGTTATTTAATTTTGAGTTTGATTTGCTGATTTAGCCACCAGAGTTAACAAAAATGTGCCATATATTTACAAATATTATATTTTCCATATTGTACATTCTTAATCAGAATTTAATGTAGATTTGTACTTGCCAGTCTTTTATAAAGATGGGTATTCATTATTTGTTTGTTAAAATAAAATATGATATCCTGAAAGATACTATTGTTTGTCATGTCCAGGGGTCATTTTGCAGTACAGAAAACTATTGGTTGCATTAAAAAGAATCATAAAAACAAGTTAATGTAGGTAAATGATTATTCTCTGCATAGGTATTGTGATTGCCTCACAATAGAATTAAAGCTGTCAAAATATTCTGACATAGAAACTGGAAATTAAAATAAAACAATGAACATAATGATTGATAATTGCTTTATATATAGTGGCAAATATTTCATGGATGTTCAGGACAATGAAAAAGATTGAACTGATTATGTTGTGCTTATAAATTGGAATTTTTGATCACCCTGTCTTTACATTGAAACCATCATTAAGGGTTCATTTTTATTGGCAGCCAAGAGGAATTTTGTTCTTCCATAGTTATGTTAGAAAAATGATAAATTGCATTTCACAAAAAAAAAATACTGCTGATGTGAATTTGAACACAATGTTACTGAAAATTTGACACAGGAAAAGTTCGATAATGATGCCATCATAGTTTTCACTATTGTCATACATGAGTAATCCCCCTTGATTAGATTTGAGCAAAAAAAAGACACACAAAAAATCTTTCTTGATACACTGTCAATGTGTATTTGTTCCGCCTAACAGAAGTTTCCCTGGAAACTGTGTCATAAACAATGCTATAATATCTGTTCCTGTTGGAACAAAAATTATATACCCTTTATTCCGTAAAGAACAAACTCTGTAATATGTGTTCCAGTGGAAATAATATTACAGAATATTTCTTCCATTTAGAACATACAAATGTATATGATGAAGCAACTTCTACTTCATGACAACACTCAGATTTTAAAACCTAAAAAAAAATCATGGAGGTTCCTTCCAAGTTAATAAAAATGCACTGTTTCTTCAGTGATGATTGTTCATATATAATATGCAACCTACTGTGGATTCATTTATTTTTCGTTGGTAACAATTTTTCGTGGTTTGAGGAAAACTTGCATATTCGTGGATATTTAATTTCGTGGTTTTGGCAAAGTCTGCATACATTCCTTTAGAAAATTTGTAATTCATTGAACATTTAGATTAGTGGTTCCCCTGAACCCACGAAATCCACTAAAAAATTGGTATCCAACGAGTATTAATGAAACCACATTATATGCCTGAATTTGAAATCGAGTCTAGCAATATTAACCTCCAGGTTAAGTTAACTTTACCAGCAAATTATCAGTCTTAATTAAACAAAAATAATTTCATTTATATAAGAAATTATGAAAATCCCCAATTGAAGTTCTCAAACTAGAGGTGAAATATGTAAATTACTAGTAAGACAAGAAGGGAATTGTTTGGGTTTGTAACCTTTGAACTGTTGACTAGAAACTTTTAATACATGTCTTAAGTCATTTTCATTGAATATTATTCACTTATTACTAACAACATTTTTTGTCAACATTATTCAGATTCTTGATGATTAATCAATGAACTACATTATTATGTTGGACTATGGTCGGAACATCTTTTAATCACTATTAAACAGAATTTTTACTCACTCAAGTGAACACAACACACATTTTTGATAAACATAACATCAATACTAGGTCACCACTGATGAAAGTTCAGGGATAGCATTTCGAAATGTGTATATTTGCTAAAGATTTCAGAAAGAGGCTTATCATTGTTCAGCTTAATTATTACTCAGTCAGAGCTCAATTATTACTAAAGCAGTTATAACAGTATTCACTTGTGAAATGAGTCTTACCCTTTACAAAATGAACTGAACTGTCTGTTTAGGAAGAAACCATTCTTAGTCCTTATTTAGTACCTAACACA